GTGTGTAAGTGATGGGGTGGGGGGGGGGGTAGAGGCATATACTGTTGAGCTTTTGTCAAAACTGGCGTGAAAGTTAGCAAAATTATTTTCTCTCGGGTTTCATTGTGGGGAGTTAAGAGGGCACGAAAGTCACAAACTGTCCTCCTGTCGCGAAGATCATATGACTCGGATGGATTTTCTTGATTTTTTTATTCCTCTCCTCCGGTCCATTCTGCTTGTATAACCTTCGGAATTGAAGGACGACGGTTCCCAACGAGAGGATAACCTACGCTATTGAGCAACACAATCGGTGTTACATACATTTAGAAATTTACAAGAGATGAAAACTTCAGGGTATTGTAGAACTCGCGCATGATTTTGAACAAAAAAATTCAATTGAATAAATGAATAAAATTTTAATTTTCAGATAGAAAGCTCCGCATAATAAATTTACAATATAATTCTATTTTGCTTTTTTTGGTCCGGATTTTTTAGCACATACCGTAGCACTGCTAGCTGCCCCTTCCCATCTGCTGTATACATCGCAACATTGGGCGAAGCCGTGAAGGTACTCCTCCCCTTTGCACCATTGAGCGAATCGTCCCCGCAATTATCGTCGCTCTTCCGACAAAAGGACGTATCTCGATGTCGGGATGAGCCCCAGGAGGCACGGAATCCTATGTGAAACAGGGCTCACGCGAAAGTCGAGATACGATCTTACGTCAAAGGAGCGTCGTTATGTGAGAAGCGGGAAACGTGAGATCAAATCTTTTAATTTCTCAAGTGCGGAAAACAAGCGCGGGTGATCACAGGGCGTGCGCGCACGACCTCTGGCGACAATTTTGCTCAATTTTCTCGGTCAGATAACTCGACGACGGGCCCACTCGAAGCTACTTTGTAATAACACCCGTGAGAAGTAAACGATGATGAATAAAAACTATAAAACGCGCTTTTTCCCCGGCGCGTGCTTACGTGATGTGAAGACAGATGTCTTCAAGTTATCCCTGGAGGAACGGTCTGCCGTCAACTTTTGCTATAAGGAAAACTTGGTTACATTTTCTTACTTCGTTTCATTTATCTTTTAACTGAGTTTACTAAGTAGAATAGGTTATGGTAATGTCAGAAAAAAAGATAAGGCCTCTGACATTTTGGTCCATGGGGGAAGAATTAGACATTATTCCACGGAGGAAAAAAAATCAGAAAAACGATTTTCACCGAGTTGTATAACTAGAAAGAGGATCGAATGGTAAGATTTTAACGGAAAACTTTCTCTGTCCTCTCGTTTCTATTTCTCTTTCTCTTTCTCTTTCTCTTTCTCCTTCTCCTTCTCCTTCAATTTCTTCTTCTTCTTCTTCTTCTTCTTCTTCTTCTTCTTCTTCTTCTTCTTCAGCATCTTCCTCTACCTATCGACTAATGATATAGAGTCCTGTTTCTGTAACCACTATTCTGAGAGAGGAGCAGGGCCAGATTTACTTACTAGCCGCCTATGGGCCGCCTGTATTTTGCAGCCCCCTTCTCATTCGTTTTGAAACATAAATAAAAACCATCAAGTGAATATGCCGTTGCCGGAGGGGGAGCTGACCGCTGCAGGCTGAACGCACTGAGTTTGACGCAATGCGTGAAGTATTCATGCGGTCTTGTAGGCGCTATGCGTTTCACGCCACCCGCTGCTGACCGCAGCGACCGCACTGTGTTTGACGCAATGCGTGAAGTATTCATGCAGTCTTGTAGGCGCTAATATTGTTACACGCTGACCGCCGCGCTGAGGGTTTCTCCTTTTCATCTCGAGTCCTCGTCATCATTGCTCTCTGCGCCGTTCCAGGTCAAATTGCATGTTCGGTTTCTCTCTTAACTCGACTAGTTAAAGGTGCTGTCTCTTGCATCATCGAAAGACGACAAAATTAGAGATATACTCTCAGGATATGAGCTATTTTTTCGTTTGTAATTTTTTTTCTGAATCCGATTTTTCATACCTACATTTTACATTAACTAAATCTATTGATGCTTTTTAACTAATAAATCATTGAATGAACTGCATCAACCATCAAGTTCTTCAGGTCTTGTCAATTCTATCTGGTGTTTTTGAGTTTTGGCTCTCAAGGCAGCCTTACACTTGCTCCTCAGCCACAGGCATTTATATTTTGGGAAGTCAATCAATGGCACAGAACAATAAACAAAGGACACGCACGTTAATAGGCTTATTGGTCTATTTATGTGTTTACTATTTGACTTATTGCCGTCTGGCCAGCGGCCAAAATATCCTGCACAGCGCCGCGTTCTGTATTTTGCCAATGACAAGTGAGCAAACACCACTCAACTTGTGGCCTCAGGCAGCAAGAGCAGTGAGCACATCTCAATTCTGATTGTATCATTTGAAAGGACAGCCGTCTATTAGGAAGTTCAAAATCCTGCTTTGATGACATTACGCGTTTCGCTACGAGGAATGGCAACGCCATCAGATGGCCTTTCCCCAACATCGCCCACCATATAGCGTACGCAGCGTTAATTATCAAGGACCGATCCCTATTAAAAAGTACGGCGGAGTGCATTTCACACCGGAGCCTAGTTACTCTCAAACATCTGCAATCATATTATTGCGGAGTGGTATGTACTCTTTTTGCGGAGTGAACTCTGCTCTCATGGAGGGGAATCAACACCATATTCTTAGCACTGATTTTTTTTTTTGGGGGGGGGGGTGAGGGATAGGCCCCAGTGTAAAATGCACTCTGGATTTATCTCTGATATTTCTCATAGTGCTTGCAGTTGGCAATCTAGTCTGGAAGTAGAGACCGCACACATTGTTCGTAAAATGCTCAGAAAACCTAAAAATGTGATTTTTTGTTGAAATGACAGGCATAATTAAGGCAATTTGGATCGCATTTGGCAACAAGGAACCAGTACAATTACAGTGTTGTAAAAATGTTACTTCATAATTGCCTACAAAATCTCTCAGAATAGCAAATAGTTATTGCTGCCCACCAATAAATTATGGGTTGTAAAGGAAAGTAACCGTGTAAATTTTAATACTGTATTTAAATTGAGTATTTTTAAAAGGAAATAAGAAGTTACGCGATTTTGATCGCGCTCGTCCCTTTTTGCTACATGCGACCCATTTGTGTAGGTGTCTACCACAAAACTAGATTTTGAAAATTTTGATGCGAGATCTTTTTCAGGTCGGATTGCATCTCCGTATTGGAGTAGTGACAGTTAAGTTGCACACAGAGAATAAAAAACTTCAGCCAGAAGCAAAAGAGATGAGCGGCGGCGTATACAATGATTATCAACCGTGCTATTATGTGTGCCTAAAAGACACATTTGTATACATATGATTTCTAGAATGAAGTATACAAAGTTGGCACAAGAATATTCATTTTGTACTTAAGGGGCATCCAATAGACTTGTTTGGATTCACTGAAAAAATAAAATCTTAAATTTGCCGCCAAGAAGTATTCCTTCGTAAATCAATAATTTCGTTGTTTAATAAAAACTACTTTTTCGCTTAACCCAAGCATTATTTTGGTTGTATCAAGAAAAATTCAGCTTAAATCAAGATAAAACAAATTCTTGGCGGCAAATCCAAGAACTACCATGCTTGAGCTATAAGCACCCTTTTTTTCCGTGTCGTTTTAGACTTAGGTTTGGACTCTGTGTACAAACAAAACTGAAAAATTCCCAATTAAATGCTCAAAAATGATACATACGAATGATAGTTATTTTCACAGTATTGTAGAAATACATTTTTCTTTGATCAAAATTTACTACGCGATCGTGCTTTTGCCAGAACTTGAGCTTGTGTAATAATTTCTGCTACTTGCGAATTGATATTATAGTGCCAGTTTTGAAACCATCCAATGTGAAAAGAAAGAAATATAATAAAAAAAAGATATGGACAACCCAGCAAACAAGCAAGTGTTAAAAGATCGTTTTCAAGGACATCATTCCCCGATTTTTGAATGTTCTGTTTTTCCTCGTAATTTCTTTTTCTTTTCGCTTGATTACCATCTTTCCACCTTCAATTTCTCGCTGTGCCCCTTGCGCGTTGTATTCATTCTAGTTTTTTCTCGACCGGTTTTGAGAATCCTTTCTCTCCGTTTCTCTGACATTTTTACACATTCACTCTCATGCATTTCTGCGGCTGCTTTAATCGAAAATACCTGCTTCTCGTGCGTGTAGAAGCATGAACATATTTTTGAATTTTACACGACTTAAAAATTGTAAACAGAAAAAGTCCAGCTAAAATAATTGTATATAATCTTGTATCGCTAAAATCATATAAAATGATATACTTACAGAAAAGAAAAAAATATGAAACGCTTTTTACAGCTGTTATTTTTTTTCACTGTAGATTTTTATTCTTCAGTTTTTAATCTGTAGAGCTTTAAGTTTTGATGAATTTTTTGAAAAATGAGGGGAATTTATTCAGGAGATACGTCGTGAAATTACCTGATGTCCCTCCAAAAACTGCTTTGTAAAATATCCCTTCAATGTAATGTAGAACGATAAAAATGTGTGATTGCCTAAAAACATTGAATTGAAAAAATCAGATTGAAACAAATTTTACACCTCAACATTTTAAATACATGGTGAGGAGAACTGAATGTATATACAAGTAGAGGAATAAATAAATGCAGGAAAATATAGGAATATTTAGAGGTATATGTGAACTACTACAGAGAAATATACCCTTTGAACAGCAAAATGAGTTAGAGAACATGATCCAAGGAGGGCTTTCGTGCGAGATTTTGAGGTGGATGGGATGACGATTCTACGGCAGCCTGCTGTCGTATCAAAGATTCTGTCTATAAACCTATTTAATGCCAACATGTTGACACGCATACCACCTTTCCGAACGTTTCGACCCCTTATACTCGGTACAATGAATCGAGTACCTGAGTTCCTTTAGTCAATGACGCGCCGTATCAACACACTGTGTAGGAGTTGACTGCTTGGTTTTTTTTTGTAAATTTGATACTTATTCGAAAAATATATTTTCTAAAATATTTGTCTCTTTACTGTTGCAGGAAAAAAACATATCTTACGGCAGATAAATGGTTTATTTAAGGCAGGAGAGCTCACAGCTATCATGGGGCCTTCCGGAGCCGGGAAAAGTTCCTTAATGAACATACTTGTAGGATACGTGTAAGTAGAGTGATTCGCTTCTCATTCATCTATCTTTTCCAGGCTCTGCAATGAAAAAGTCCATATTTTACATGACTTTAAATGGGGGAAAACCTGATTTTCCGCACTCTCTTGGCAACGATGCATTTATTTATGTGTCATATTATCAGTCCTATGAAACATGTATTTGAATCTAGGACTATCGGAACTGCATTAATCATCGGTTTTAAAACATTCGGAAAATCGCACAAAATTTTCAGTTCGTCTTAAGGAGCCACATGAAAGTCAACCACATTTTGAAAGTTTGAATTGACATTAATCTTTTTGAAAATCTGAGGTGTGCACGCAAGACTCGTCAGAGGCAAGTAGTTCATAGACAAATAAGAGTCATACACCGGCCTGCGTCTTAAGGCTAGCTGGGAACTTCTACTTTCATAGCTTTATCGCTCAACCTTCGAAATTGTCTTTTTGCTTGCTGCTGAGTCATTTATTAAGTAACACAATGGGCCTGTTGCATGCAAGAGATACAGCCGAGCGAATAGACTTTTTAGAGGTCAAATGACATGAAAATTACGATGGTCACATTAAAAAAGTCTGAAATACACTCCTTACTGCGCAATTTGCGTTGTTAGGAGCGCGCCTTTTCAAATTTCCCGCGTCGGGGGGCAGTTTTCTTACGGAAACAATTAACGGCAACTCGCGGCTATTTCCGGTCAACTAAAACTGACAACATAACCTAAAAATCGGAGCTCGTGATATCGTGAAATGAAATGTAGAAGGATTGCGTTGGATATTTAAAAGTTGATTGATTTAGTGACCGTATAAAGCGTATATGGACCACTATAAGAGATCACGTTGGGTTTGTGAACAAACTGAAGGAAAAAATAACAACAACAACAACAACGACTCGGCATTTTCCGGAAATCACCGAGCCCGCCGTTTGCTCGTTTCCGGTGATTAGAAAACTGCCCCCAGACGCGGGAAATTTGAAAAAGCGCGTTCCTAACAACGCAAATTGCGCAGTAAGGAGTGTATTTCAGACTTTTTTAATGTGACCATCGTAATTTTCGTGTCATTTAACCACTATAAAGTCTATTCGCGCGGCTGTATCTCTTGCATGCAACAGGCCCATTCAGCCAAGAAAATGAAAAATGAGTGCTGCTGCCTATAAGATTATGTTGAATCTCCGAAATTAGAAGTTTCCACCATTGCTGAAAAGGTGATAGAGGTCCTAGGGACTTGTCTTTGATTATTTTAAATTTAGTGTACATTAAACAACAGAAAAAAGAAAAAAAAAATTAGTGTATTGTATGAAAATTTTCAAAATATCGGGGGCAATTTCTGTACCTTAGACCCCCAAAACTTATTTTTGACTTTTTTCTTCTTGGCTATGACGTTAAAAGCATTTTGTAGTAATTTTATTAATCCGCTTCCTTCCATAAGTGAATTTTTGTACTCGATCTTGCATATTTCTTTTACCCGCTTTGCATCAACCTTGAACTTTAAAAAGCTAAACTTTATTTTATGTTTCGGAACGGACCATTCTTTTTATTGAGATTGAATTTTGATGAAAATTGGTAACTGCTTTGGAGCCAAGCCGAGAGATTTTCAGTTTTTGTGGTGAATTTTGAACTTCACCTTGTGCCTCAATTAATTGACAAACATTACATTCTTGGTAATTAATGATACGACCTTCAATAATTGTTGTTGGGGAGTGACGTAGCATTGTGAGGCTTGATCTTGAAAATACACGAACTTAGAATGATGAGAAGTGAAATTCACCTGCTCATTTCGATCTCTTTTTCCGATCCAAAATTATCGATTGACCGTCAAAAAATTCGACTTCCAATTTCGAATACGTCTAAAGCTCACTAATTTAGCAGTCCGAAAATATGACTAATAGGTCTTTTTCATTAACGTAGGTAAGCCTCTTTTGCTTAAGGTGATTCGATGGACGCCATATTTTGTGTCAGAACGGCATGCGATATATCGCATCAATTGGTTCCATTTTTTCAGCTACTCGTCATTTTTCTCCAATTTTGAGATCGCAATTCTGCTGTCAGGGGACTAAAGCACTCAATGCTACAACAAACAAAAAAATTCAAAATTAACAAAAAATTTAAACAAAAAACAACAAAAAAATTACAATTTAATTTAACAAAATTTAACAAAAAAATTTTAACAAAAAAACTCAACGTAATAAAGGCGTGGTTTTTTCAGAGAGAAAACATTGCATTCGATACTGATATCGAAAATGCACTCGAATGCGATATTTTCTCTCTAAAAAAACCACGTCTTTATTAAGTTGAATTTTTTTTTTGTTAAAATTGGTAAGTGAATGCTTTAGTCTCCTGACAACAGAATTGCGATCTCAAAATTTGAGAAAAATGACGAGTAGCTGAATAAATGGAACCAATTGATGCGATATATCGCATGGTTCTGACACAAAATATGGCGTCCATCGAATCACCTTAAATTCATCCAAACAATCAACTCAAGTATCGCGGGCTAATGAGTTTTCTTTACGTTTTCAGAACGGCGAATACCTCAGGGAGCATCCTCACAAATGGAAGCCCACGACAGATGAACCTGTTCAACAAACTTTGTTCCTATATTATGCAAGATGATCTCCTTCAACCTCATTTAACCGTCTTAGAATCGCTAATTATCTCAGCTCATTTAAAACTCGGAAATGAATTACCAATAGAAGATAAATTAGCAGTGGTAAGCCCTCCTTGATTCTTCCCATTTGACGTCTCGCGGAATTCTCAACAGTTGCGATTAATCTGAAGAATTGAGCTCTGATTAATTGAGGGCTCTCCCTGAGTTCACTTTCCGTGACGCCCACAGCTAGCGCTCAGTTTTTAGTTCAGGGTTTCTGTCGCTTTTTAAGTGTGAAAGCAGAGGACCAGGTATAATGAAAGTTATTATCGCAGGCTTTAATTTATCAAACCGAGCGTATTAGAGAGGAACCAACCCACTTTTGCGAAAAAATTGAGTTAAGAATGTTTTGAGTTTCACTAGCTGTATATTTTCTCTTACCAAAAACTGAAAATCGAAAAACAGAAATTAGTCGTTGAAATGAGGGGCTTAATTTTATTTTTTACATTAAGCCTTATGCAGGAATAAAATTTCAAACGTCTTTTTCTCACGTCAATTTCAACTTAATGTGGGTTGGTTCCTTTCTATTAAACTCGGCCCAATTTGATTGTACCGTTTAGGATGTTGAGTTGATGATAAAGTGGTTCACGAAGATATGCAAACACTTAAATTGATGAAACTTCTGCTTGCATTAAGAGGGCCTGTCCTCTGAATGTTTCCATGTTAGAATCAGTCTCAGAGCAACCGGGGTTTTTGCCACCAAACTCATCACGCGCCAAGAACAACATTATGTACAGTTCATCCCATCCCCATCAAGTTAATCAAAAGTCAATATATTACATGAAAGTGAACCGAATGAAATTTAGTTTGCTACAAATGTGCCGTTTGTAAAAATTTCACGGAAGTTGTTGTACAGATGCATAGTGGATTTTCGCCTTATTGAGAGATCCAATATTTGAGATATTATTTGCAGAAACGTCGTATGATAGCAGCGCTTTTCATTGTCAGATTGTGCAACATTGTGTGTAATTTGTAAGAAACCAAAGAAGCACATGTTTTATCAATTATTATAAGTAAAAATGAGGTGAGGGGTGTGCCTTTTGAAACTTTTAGTTGCAGATTAAGCACACATTTGCACAATCCGAGTGACGTTGCAGAGCTGATACGTCATTCTACAATTATACACCAACAAATTATTGGCTTTTATCTTCAGAATTGTAGCTGACATACGATAGCAAACCCTCTTATCACTCAAAATTGAGTAACAAAAGTGGATTTCTACCGCGCTAAGGAAGAACACCGCGTGGGTCTTCAAACGTTGATACATTTTTTCGATAAAAAAAAACCAATTCGTGGGGAAATTTATGAATATCCCCACCCAAATTTGTCACAGTCTTAATTTCAAATTTGGTATCTAAAAATTTCGAGGAAAAATACTCATGACTCTCCCCAAAAATCAATATTTTATCGGAGGATATTTGGTAACTTTCGAGTGATCGCACGGCTTTCTTCCTTAGCACGGTAGGAATTGGTGAGCCTCAAGCCACACGTATATTCAAGACAGCATCCCGAACAGCACAGGATTACATTTAATTGCTTCCTGGAAAATACCTCAGAGGTCCTATCTTTGCGTTGCCAGCATTGGGATGAAAAGATCCTCTTTGCATGTTTGTTTCAATTGCGAAAATATAAATAAATCAGGGAGCAGGCAACTTCCTAATAATCAATGTCATAATTGGAATAATGCGACGAGAGGGGTCCTATCTTTGCCTGGATTACGTAAAACTAATTGGTTCAGAAATCCTTAAATACAGTTTTTTTGTGACCACGATGAAAAGTAGAGAACTACAGACGGGTAAGGAAGAAGTTAGTGTGGAGGTTGTACTTTAGCTATTTTCCGCCTGTTGATAATAATTGATGAGCGACTTGTTGATCGGTTTTCTTCGTTGAACGATGTCAGGTCGGGCAATTTGCGATACAAGTCGTCAAAGTGAAGCTTGTTCAATTATGATGGCAACCAAACTCAAATATTGAAATTATCTCACTAGCCCCGACTTTCTCAGACTTAGCTCAGTTGCCCAAGAAAAAAAAAATTATTATTGACTGATTTGAGAAAGACAAACCTTGCGCTCAGAGTAGTCTGCCGTGAAAATGAAAAAAAAAAATCCTTTAAATTCACCAAAATTCCCTGCCATTCCAATGGAGATGTTGCATGTGTGAGAAATTTGCGATTTGACTGTTGATTCTTTTGTAAAATTTCGCGAGAAACACGATGGTGCCACTGGTTTTCTCTGAAATTAATTCCTAAGCTCCAAAAAAGCTCTTAAGTTGAGGCCAAAATGGAGGGGATATCCCAATTATCCCACTCTACCCTGAGAGTCCACGTCTACAATCAAGACAAACTCTCCATGCGAACAGAGGGAGCAAATACATTGACAGGGCTGTCACTTTATTTGGGGACTCCAAAACTGAAAACACGGCAACTCTGCTAATGTATTTGCTCCCTATCTTTGCATGGAGAGTTTGTCTTGATGTAGAGGTGGACTCTCAGGGTAGGGTGGGATATCCCCTCCATTTTTGCCTCAACTTAAGAGCTTTTTTGGAGCTTAGGAATTAATTTCAGAGAAAACCAGTGGCACCATCGTGTTTCTCGTAAATTTTTACATAAGAATCAACAGTCAAATCGCAAATTCCTCACACATGCAACATCTTCATTCTAAGTAGTATATCTATATTATAAAATGTCTTAAAAAAGTTGTTCGAGTACTCTTTTCAGTAGACAACTTTTGCCTCTGTTAAGATTCGGCTGGAATAGTGCCACTGATTTTACGTAATAACGAAGTAATTTCATGTCTCTGAAATACTCTGTCACTACTAAAAATGAATAAGCTCATGTGTTCACTTAAAAAAAAGGATGGCTTATTAACTGTGGCTACTGTCTACTGATGTATGGAATTTTGTGTTTCAAGGTGGATGAAATTATCGAAACCTTGGGTCTGCAAGTCTGCAGGAATACCAGAGTCGAAGGTTTGTCCGGCGGTCAACGGAAGAGGCTCTCGGTCGCGTTGGAGCTAGTCAGTAATCCACCTGTTCTATTTCTCGACGAACCTACAACGTAAGTTAAAGTTCTAACTTCAAGAATAGAAATAGTTCAAATAATTTTAAATTTGGACGTATTTCTGTCAAACGGAACTAAGCGCCAATTTGAGTTCCTTTTGAGGAATTTAGAATCCCGGAAAGCGCGTTCTGTCAAACGGAACTAAGCGCCATGGAAAAGCATTGTGAGTATAGGACGGAACGAGCAGGACGCCCGTTTCCGCCGCCAATCCAAGCCCCCCTCTACCTTCCTCCCCCTATGGCGCTTAGTTCCGTTTGATAGAAATATGTCCATTTCGATAACGAATTTTTTCCCCCACTGTCAGAGATCATTTGTTTTAATGTAAAAAAAAAAAAAAAAAAAAAAAAAAAATCATAACAATAATCAAAACAATATTAAAAATAAATTCGAGAAACCCAAACAGGGAATCGATTTGAAAAACGTTTGCAGAAACAATGTAAACTGATGTGAGATTCACTTTTCCTCGATCTATTTGAGTCGTTTACAAGTTACAGCATCACATTGAATGATTGCCTCTTGGGCGGGGACGCGAAAAAATGACCTCGTCATCGACGCTTTTTTGTCCGAACAACCGACTTTTGAGGCATCTCAAAAACGGTTCATGACCCTCGCATTTCTCAACGCCTTTGAATCTGAAAATTAGTGTGGAATAATTAGATGTTGAATGAGTTTCGGCATTAGCACTGTGATTTCTTCCTGGTTTTTCTAAACATGTCTGTTGTGAGGAAAAAATCGAAAGAGACGAATTTTTTTTTGTAATGTCTGGCTGTGAAAGTTCTTAATTTTAAAATGAAAGACTGAAAGTAAGAAAATCTTTGGAGTGATTACCTTAGGGTTCAGGCATTAAGAACTTTCGGATTAATTTGACTCATGCGAAGTGAAGAAAACACCAGATTGGCCCGAGTAAAAAAAAGGTCTGGACGCGCTTTTTTTGTGCAGTATTTTATTAAAAAATTCGAGTGAATACTTTAAATCTGTAAGCCCACTGTTACGAGCAAGAAGGTGAACAAAAAATTTCAAATTCACTTCGATAATTTTTTCTGAATCATTCGAATTTTTTTGTGGCCCCTTCTATATCCAAGTTGGAACGAGGATTCTTCAATTTCTTTTTTTAATAAGTGATATCTCAATCGGAACTGGACGTAAAACATTTTTCGATACCCCTATCGTGATTTTTGAGCCATTTTTTATTACACTGAAAAGAAACTCCGGCCGTGGGAGTCGCAATTACGGGCTGTATATGCATACCGTCCGTTCCGGGCTCAAAGGCCGAAAATTCCGGCTGCTGGAGCCGTAGCTTCGGCCTCTGAACCCGGGGCAATTGAAACTACGCCTCCAGCAGCCGGAATTTTCGGCCTTTGAGCCCGGAAAGGACGGTACGTCTATACAGCCCGTAATTGCGGCTCCCACGGCCAGAGTTTTTTTTTCAGTGTAGAAATAACTCCTTTTTTAGTTTAAGCTAAAGCTTGCAAGAGGCCCACTTACAGTTTTGATAATGCAATGTGATGTGTTTATTTTCAGGGGTCTGGATCTTGTGGCCACGAAACAGTGCGTGGGAGTTCTGAAAAGTTTAGCGCAACAAGGGAGGACGATCGTGTGCACGATTCACCAGCCGAGTGCAAGCATTTTCGAGACGTTCGACCACGTGTACATGCTCGCCAAAGGGCAGTGCATTTACCAAGGAGCACCCACGCAACTCGTCCCTTTCCTCGCCAACATAGGTCTCCACTGCAAAGCAACGTATAATCCCGCCGATTTCGGTAAGTCCCCGCCAAATGGACGTATTTCTATGAAATGAAACTATGTGCATTATGACGTGAGCCCTGTTATGCACATATCTTATGGGTCTCAGGGCTCATGTCTGAATGCACCTAGTTCCGTTTGATAGAATTACGTCCAAATAATCTACTATTTTCTCTCCATTTTTAAATTATAAGAGATTGCCTGAAAAAGATTATTTAATCAGCATTTTTATCTCGATTGGAACAAGTCGGTCCTCTCAAAATAGAGTTCCTCCATACTGAGAGTGAAGACAACACCCTCTCATGGAGTCACAATGGGAATAAAGATCACACAAATTGAACGTTTTTCGTAATCTTTGATCGGATTATGCTCAAATTCCTTCCTCCGTTCCTTCTCTCATTCCATTTGTTCCTTGTCGAACCCGTAATTCCTCGGACCATTCCAGATTATAATATTTGCAAGTGGTGAAAATGTAATCTTTATTCCCGTTTGTGACACTGTGGAGGCCTAAAATACGGTAACCAATCAGAACGGGGTTCACATTGTCTTAACTCTCAGTATAAAGGGACTATACTCTCAAAAGAGTGGCGATTTTTTTATTACCCCAGAACTCTTCTCAATTCTAGCAAGTTGGCGTCAACGTTTTCATCCATTTAAATCCATTATGAAAAGTCTGGGGGAGGCAGCCTGTTTTTGACAAATGTTGATTGCTTCACATGCTTTTAAATTGACAAAATACAATGTTCAAACTTGCCAGAATGATGGTTTGTCCGTTGTTGAGCTCTGAAACATTTGACAACACGGGCCACACCCCGTCATTGTCACTCTTAATTTTTCTTAAATGTCATTATACAAACTATTTTTCGGCGCTTTTCAGTACAATTTTAGTCCGCATCTTTTACCAGGAAGTTTTTTTTTTGGTAGGTTTACGCGTGTTTGCGAGTGTAACACATCACAGATCCATAATAATTCACTGAGAAATTCAAAGGGAAACAAGCGGGCATATCTTATTATTTAAAAATAGGATAGCTCTAGGTACTCAGTGGGGTTATTCGTGTAACAATTGTAATTTTTTTTTTGTGGAAAATCAGTAAGATTCAAAACGAGAGAAGGCCGATGTAATCGTCTGATAAAATTTCAAATTTTATTGCACATTTTTTTCTTACACGCCAAAGCTAGCGAGTTTTCACAAGCTCCGAGTAAACTGTGCGGATCATCAAAAAAATATCGTTCTTTCAATTTCAATCAACTTTGAGCAAACAAAGGCTTTGTAAAATTTAGAATAAATACTCAAAGTTGCTGTGCATCTGCTCTGGTTGTTTGACATCAGAAGTCTTAAATGAAGGTATCGTAGCTAAATCTATTCTAAATACGTTAGGTCCCTCTCCGCCAACTTTTTGTTGATCAGATGCGTCATTTGAACGTAATGGCACTAGTATACTGGAATTGAGAGGCTTGGAAGACAAGGTGCATCAATGAAGTTTTTAAAAAAAATTGAGATATATATTAATGAAACTTTTGTAGGGGACAGTCATAAGACAATTTTTGCAAAAAAAGTGTTAAAAATCGCGTACTCACTTGCGCTAAACTAGCAAGTTAGTAGCGCAGTTTTGTTTTGCGCAAGTGAGTACGCGATTTTTATCACTTTTTTACACATATTAATGATTTCAAGCAAAACTAGCCTTAACGCATATCCTGTAAAAAATTCGCTCCCAAATTCCAATTTTTAAGCATCAAAAAGTCAGTCTAAACTTTCTCTCCATCATAAGAATCCATGTAATTTCTAAAGTTCAAACTTGTATTTCTCGAAAAAGCAAAAACTGCAGTTATGGGCTTTGTCTTCCAAGTCCCTCAATTCTAGAGGCCGGCTCAAATCAAAAAGCCCTCCCTAACGGCTGAAAACCAGTAGCGTGGCGTGAATTGCGACATATCTATTGTTATGCCATTTAAACCTATGGAAAATGATTGATCATTGATAAACAGGGTGTTCGCAGCGAACACCTTAATAATCGATTCTTTACCATAAGTTTAAATGGCATAACAATCGATACATCGCAATTCACGCTACGCCACTGCGAGAACTTGAAGTTTCCCAAAGATTCGTATTTCATCGGAAGAAATTTGACATCGGCTGAATGCTCACACGACGTTTCCCCTGAGCACGGGAGAAGGCTGGACGTTGTGTTATTAGAGATCACATTATTTTCCGTTTCTCGGTGAGATTCCAGCATCTAAACCCTATTACGCGGCGCAAAACTGACGTCATCCTCGTGAGAGTATATCTCCCCCCTCGAGGCCCTGTTATTGAAGGTCTATGTCGAACCCCCGAATTCTCATCAAAACAGGAATCGGAGACAATCCCTCTCAACATTTCGAATTCCGCCGCGCTCCCGGAAAACCGCGGTTTCGCGCGGGGTTTTCGCTTCCACTTACGCGGTTTTCCTGGATTAGCGAGCGTGTGCGGAAGTCATCTCCGTCTGTCAAAAACAGGAGCCCACGGCGACGTGGACGTAATGAGTGCCGGCGATTCGTCAACACAACAAGGTCGGTGCGTATCGACGGTGAAACTACCAAACCACGTATCTCGGTTTGCGACGTCGCAGACCTCCTGTCATACTTTATTTTTTAAATGGAAAACTACTCAACATCCAGTCTTGAAAATTTCTGTGATTTTTCCTCTTTGTGCGGAGAAAATTCCGTGAAAATTTCAAAGAATGATATTGATTTGGTCTACTTCAAAAAAATAAAATGTGAGCGTAGATTTTTAAACACCGCAAACGAGATACGTGGTTTGGTAGTTTCACCGTCGGTATGCTCCCGTTTTGAGGAGCAACCGCGTATGAACATGCGAACTGTGTTCGATTTCTTCACATATTACCCATCTTTCCTGAGACAATCGTGAATTTCTTCTCCGTAACATTTTCAGAAAATTTCAAACTCAGTTTTTTCCGGTGGAACTGAAACCCCAAATAGAAAAAATCGATAAATCGACCCTAAAATGGAAGTTTTACTCCGAGAAATTTTACAATGTTCGGATGTTCATACGTCGTTTTTCCTCGGCGCGGTGATGCGATGAGGGAGGGGGAGCAATTATTTTCGTTCGCGTCTTTTTTCGGGGGTGTTTTCCTTTCATCAGCTCGGCGAGTCTCCAAGCGCGTATGAACATAGCAGCGTTGCCGCGTGGCCCTTGGACTGGCGTTTTAGCAAGGAATTACGGCAGGGGGTTTCGAGGAGATGGCAACAGGGTGGCGACGCTTCGGCCGGAATTTCTCAGAAATTACAAAGCTCTCGGAAAAAGTTGGAGCGGCGAATTCGACGCTCTTGAAAACGTCGGTCAGCCTATCCGTAAGGGACTATATCGTCACTTGGCTGACATAAGGGCGTAACTACACATTGAGATGAGCCTGGAAAAGCATTGAAATTTATGGAAGACAGGGTTCATAGCTGAGTGTAGTTACGCCTTTATGTCAGGTAGGCGACGATATGTAGGCTCCACGCATCTGGTCGGGATGCCCATTTTTGCCCATGCGTCATTTATTTATTTGTTATTTTTAATTAAGAAACATTCAGCCCTTGTCAGAATTCTTATCCTTAGAGTTCACTCTTTTTTTTCTCCTTGAGCAAATCTTACTATCCGTTGGATAATCCGACTAGGGTGCCTCCCGAAGTGTTAGAAACAACTTGAAAAAGCTGAGCCGAAACGCCGATATTGAGGATGTAATAAACTGAGGAAACTGTCACGCAACGGTAACGTATAGCAGTGGCGTTGCGTGCTTTGCGATACTTCGATTAATCGCCCATATAAACCTATTGAAGAGATAGAAAGGGTGTTCGCAACGAACGCTTTGATTTTCGATTCCTTACCATAGCGTCAAATAGGGAACTATCGATAATCGATCATTCACGCCTCGCCACTGACTTAAGAAATGTGCACTTTCATTTGGACGTACTTCTATCAAACGGAACTATGTGCATTATGACGTGAGCCCTGTTATGCACATATTCTTATGGGTCTCAGGGCTCATGTCTTAATGCACCTAGTTCCGTTTGATAGAATTACGTCCATTTAAGTTGACTATGTTTTTCTTATTGAGCAGCAAGTTTGAATTGGACGTATTTCTGTCAAACGGAACTAAGCGCCATAGGAGGAGGAAGGTAAAGGGGGGCTTGGATTGGCGGCCAAACCGGGCGTCGGGCTTATTCCGTCCTATACTCGCAATGCTTTTCCATGGCACTTAGTTCCGTTTGACAGAACGCGCTATCCGGCATTCTAAATTCCACAAAAGGAACTCAAATTGGCGCTTAGTTCCGTTTGACAGAAATACGTCCAATTGATGCATGAAAACGCGTTAATATCTCTGGGAGTCATTTTGAGTAACTTTCGTTGTAAAAATCAAGTTTTACGTGAAATCGTCTATCTTTATGATTCCATTGGCACACTGAGAAAAAACTATGGTTATAATTACCATATTAGTGGTGTTCAATATGCCCTCTTAAATAGTAGTGGCTATAACCAATAATAGTGATATTTTTACGGGAGCAATCGTAATTTTACAAGTGTGCGGTAGTAAAATTACCATGAAATGGTAAAAATATCTGTATTATTGGTTATGGTAATTACTAATTAAGAGTTCATATTGAACACCACTAATATGGTAATTATAACCGTAATTTTTTCTCAGTGCAGCCTCTCTATATTGGTCCATTATTCTCAACGACTAATTGATACTGTCGAATATTTGACTCGTTCTATTGATATCGTTTTCATTTTTGGCAGTTTTCGAAATCCTGGATACGGAAAACATCAAACGGATGACGCACGAGATCGCGAATGGGAAACTATCTCAGCCCGACCCGAACACGACGGAGACGCCGGCGGTAACGAAGCTGTGTAAGTCATTATAAGTTACTTATGACCTGTAGTTAAAATTGATCACACCTTCTTATGATCCGATGAAGCTCCGCGCTAAAAGCTCTAACCTAACTAGAGCTTTGCTGTCGTGTCAAGGAAGAACACCGTATGAACCTTCAGGCGTTGCCAAATTTCCTTGGATAAAACGCGAATTTTTTGGTAAACTTATGATTATTTTCCTCCCAATTTTTTCAGATAATATTGCACGCAATTTCCCGTAAAGATTCTGAAAATTCAAAGGGAATACCTTCGTAACTTTCCTTGTAAAAATAAACATTTTATGGAAGGAAATTTGGCAACTCTCGGCTGTTCATACGGCGTTTTTCCTTAGCACTGCAGTACGGTGCTTCAAGCACAAGGGCTTGGCTCCAACACTTGGTCGTTTCCCGGACGAAGGAGCATAACGCCATTCCAACGTTGCAAAATTAGCTCAAACAATTTTTCATAATAATTCACAAGTGCAAATTGTATCCACTTCTCTGATTTTTCCATGAGATCACAGAAAAAAATCAGTCTTTTCAGTTAGAAGTGCCCATGATTCTTCTGGTGAGAATGAAATGTGCGAGAAGAAATTTGGCAACATTGAGATGTAGTTACGTTCTTATGTGGGAGAAACGACAGTTTATCGGGTTCAAGCGTTTTTCACATTCCTGGGTGCCCTCCAGCTTGGAGGATAGCCAGTGCCGTGTTCTTTAAATGATGACGAAAATTGATAAAAAAGATGAAAGACGAAAGATGAGAGAACCGCCTTCAAAACATTGGATAGGCAGATATGAGTACACACGCGTGCGTGCAATCATTCCAATCAAATCTCATGCAGCTTGCAATTAGTTTTCCTTTAAATAGCGTTTTTTTCCACCAATTGGCCGGCCATATCTCGTTGACAAATATAATTGCGAGCGAACTAATGGTGTAACTGATTCTCTTCAAATTATTCTCTCATTACACGCCAAAATCAGTCTATAAACGAATGAAAACCATTCTGATTCCGAAACGGACACGCTGTTTCATATCCATATCTACCTAGCTCGAATTTTTCTACGCTTGGGATTAACCACCCTGAGGGATATCCCTAGCTATCGAGTGAGGTTTATCGAAAGTTGAAAACTTAAACTCTGTGTATTTTATATGAGACAGTTCCTTTCAAATCAAATTAACCTCCACTTCGAACGGGTTTTTGGAGGAAAATAAAAAAAAGAAGTATACCCTCGTGTCAGAAATATTGCCCTGGTCACGAATATTATAACAAAATATTTGGAAAATTTGAAATAACTATTTTCGATTTTGTCCATGGGATTCCGCACTGTGCCTCTGCTCGAGAAATCCCCAAGTACTTAAATGGACTGCATTGAGCAGAAAGGAACGAAGCCACACAAGCTATTGACTTTAACTGGGCAATTCAATTTTTTACACGAAAAAGGTCGTGCGAATTTTGGTGCAAATTTCGCTGAATTTTCTGCATAGTACGAGACAAATTTATTAAAATTTTCAAAGAAATCGGCACAGACGACCCGAGTTTGATGGTCTCAAACAATGGTTGCCAGGGACTGGTACAGTAGAGACGGAGGGGAGCTGGACTTAAAGCGCAGGATTATCCCTTGTAGGTTACTTGAAGTAGTGAAAAAAAGAAAGCACTTGAAAAAAACACATTGGATCTAGATTCCAGACTCTTAAAACATCGACAAGAAAAAGTACTCTTGATTCAATCAGAATCTAGCTTAAATCAAGAACCAAGACTCTTAATTTAAGCGGATTTCGTTTTGATTCAAGCATAAATCCGATTGAATCAAGAGTATTTTTTCTTGTCAATGTTTTCAAGAGTCTGAACTTTAGATCCAATGTGTTTTTTCCCAGTGAAGAAAAGAAAAAAACGCTCTCTTGCAAGAAAATAAATTGCCTGGTTAAATTTGACAAAAGCTGATGTGGCCTCTTACCTTTCTGCTTAAAACAGTGGAAATGGACGTAAGAGTGCGGAGATTGATTTTGAGGATTTGTGGTATCAGGTCGACGCGAGACGATGGCGGTGATCCCGCAGGTCTCGGTGACGGACGAGGAGGTGAAGAAGTCGGTGGAGTTCCCGACCTCGTTCTGGACGCAGTTCTCGATCCTGCTCAAGCGGCGGCTCCTCCAGAACTCGAGGAACAAGACCTCCCTCTACATCCAGAGCCTCCACCACCTCTTCTCCGGCATCTTCCTCGGTGGGATTTTCCTCGGGGTCGGCAACGACGCCGCCCGCCCCTTCGAAAACTTCAAGTTCTGCATCAGCGTCATCGTCTTCTTCATCTACACTTACGTCATGACCCCCGTCTTGCTCTGTGAGTATCTCAAAAATCCATCAAATCTCAATTCTTCATCAATTTTCCCCACCCAAAACCTCTCCTTATTTTTATTCCTCGTATTCCTCTTCTCTTCACTTTCTCCTCTTCTTCTCATCTTCCTCTCCTCTTCCTCTCCTCTTCTTTTCCTCTACTTCACCTCTTCTTCTCCTCTTCTTCTCCTCTTCTTCTCCTCCTCCTCTTCTTCTCCTCCTCCTCCTCTTCTCCTCCTTCTCTTCTTCTCCTCCTCCTCTTCCTCTCCTCCTCCTCTTCTTCTCCTCTTTCTCCCTCTTCTCCTCGTCTTCTCCTTCTCGTCTTCTCCTCTTCTCCTCTTCTCCTCTTCTCCTCCTCTCCCCCCTAGAAGCCCTAAAAGTTTATGTTTTTCTTTGTTTTAAGCAGTATTTCTTTGTTTTTGCAAATATTGTCAAATGTAGTTTGTTGTATTGTATGCAATGAATGTGCTATGTTGGCCTCAAGGAAGACAGGATTTTGGTCCTATTGTTGACAGCCTAAATCAACTGGCTTAAATCTAAATCTGAAGCTCTGCCTCCTCTCCTCCCCCTATTCCTTTCTCCTCTCCTTCTATATATTTTCCTTATTCCTTCTCCTTCTCTACATCCTTCCCCTTTGCCTTCTCCGTCTCTCCCAATTCTTCTCATATAATTGTAGACCTTCTTTTTTTCCACTAAATCCCTTTTCCTCCTCTAAACTTTCTTCTCCTATTCCTGTTGCTTCTTCACCTCTTTCTCCTAATCTACCATTTTCTTCGCCCTATTTCCTTCCTTCTTATACTCCCTCTTACCATAATTTTCCTCCTTCCTTTTTTATTCATTTTCGCTTGCCTTTCTTTTCTCTTCCTACTCATTTATCGCCTCTTGTCCCTGTGCTGAACTTTTCACTGTCTCCTTTTGATTTGTAATTTACACGTAAAGAGGAGAACAAAGGAAAATAATTCAGGAGAGGATCATATGCAGGTAGATTTTCTCATGCTTTAGGGAGAAGTAACAGGTGATGCACTGATACAGGATTATGTATTCAATTTTTAATTTCTAAAATGACGAAAAGATTACAGAGACTTTTAGTTCTCAGGATTGTCGCGAGAGGGACTCTTCTTGCCCGAATGGGCCTGTTGCAAACTTTTGCTAGAGCAAAAATAAGAGTTGTTTCTTATAGATAATGCCTCAAAATCACGATGAGCGCATCGGCAAAGTCTGTAATGCACTCATAACTTCACAGTCTGCGTAAGAAATTTGCGGTTTTTTGAGCTTCCTGCTTCAAAAACGATACTACGGCACAGGTGAAAATTTTGTAAGAGGAGTCGTTCCATCGTCGGCAATAATCATCATGGCCGACGCCAATCCGTCAAAACACGTTTAATGGGACGAGATAACACCTGAACTGGATTAGACCAGATAATAATCGGTGTGTTAACGTTCATATTTTCCACGCCCGAATTGATTGACCTTGAACTCTCCTCGAACTAAGCGCGGAACTGCGCGCAAGCGTCGGCCATGATGAATATCGCCGACGATGGAGCGACTCCTCTAACAAAATGTTCACCTGTGCCGTAGTATCGTTTTTGAAGCGGGAAGCTTAAAAAAACGCAAATTTCTTACGCAGATTGTGAAGTTATGAGTGCATTTCAGACTTTGCCGATGCGCTCATCGTGATTTTTGAGGCATTATCTACAAGAAACAACTCTTATTTTTGCTCTAGCAAAAGTTTGCAACAGGCCCATTGCCTGAGGGTCCCTTCATATTCCCGAGACATCGCACTAGATGAGAGATTTTTTCTGATATTTTAACCTGCAAGTGCGATAAACCTTAATTAATAGCTTAAGCTAAAGAGGAGGAGTGAGTGAGAATGAAAACAGGTAACAATTGCTATATCAGAAAATAAATTGGATCGCATTTAGCAAAAAGGAACCAACGCGATTACAGTGTTTTCAAAATTGTGCAACTTCTTCTTTTCTTCTGAAAATACTTAATATATGCACGGTATTAAATCACACAATTATTTCCCTTTAAAATTAGCAATATTTTTAAGAAAGGCATAAACTATTTGCTATTCTGGGAGATTTTTTAGATAATTATGAAGGAGCAACATTTTCACAACAGCACTGTAATAGCGCTGGTTCCTTTTTGCTAAATGCGATCCAATTGGACATCGTGGATTCCTGGTAATCTAACCATGTTTGATAAAAAATAACGGTATAGCCACTGGGTATGTTCTCCGAAATTTACGAAGGTAATTTTTCCTCTCGCTTCCAACTACTAAGAAACCACAGAGAATGATTTCTTACAATTTCTTCGTAATTTTGAAGACGAAATGAGAGGGAAGTTGTCACAGTAAAAATAGCTCTTACAGTTTCTGTCGGCGAAAGCTCGTTCGCGATGGAAAGTTTTTGATAACGAGGCGTTTTGTTTTGTTTTAGTTCCGTATGAAGTAAAGCTACTTCGGCGCGAGTATTTCAATCGATGGTACAGTCTCAAAGCTTTCTACGCTGCCATGTCCATCGCTTCGCTGCCGACAACGGTAAGTTTGAACTCTTTCAACTGTTGCTGTGCTGTTCCGAGAAGGAAGATGGAAAAAAATGGCTGTTATATGCCTGGATTTAGCTTAAACTTTGGTAAAAATAGATTGAAAAAAGAAATGAATCATTAGAGAAAGCTCGGAATAGTATACGTTTTTCGCTTCTGGTATATACGGTCTGTTTCATTGACGGATCCAGCAAATTGGCAACATTGTATTTTCTCCATTTAAACCAATGGAAATGTATCGATTCTTGGAGGAGCCAGGTGCTCCGACAATAATCGATTATTTAGCATAGGTTTGAATGGAGGAAATCGGTTGTTACCAGATTCCTGGACCCGCCTCTGGTTTGCATGAACCCACGAAATTCAAAACTTATTGGAAAATGGACCCTGTAAAATGTTTTAGTCGGCGTCGAGTTACCACTTGGCAAACAGTGGTTGACGGTAACAGTCAAGTTTCATACGTTAGTGCGCCTTCAATTACATTTGATACCGTGCAATACTTTCGTGGTGGAATAGTTGCTTTGGCGCCTACAAACCTAACAGGGATACTGCATGCATTGCGCGATGAGTGAAGTATCCCTGTTAGGTTTGTGGAATAGTTGCTTTGGTGCCTACAAACCTAACAGGGATACTGCATGCATTGCGCAATGAGTGAAGTATCCCTGTTAGGTTTGTAGGCGCCAATGCAACTATTCCACCACGAAAGTATTGCACGGTATCAAATGTAATTGAAGGCGCACTAACGTATGAAACTTGACTGTTACCGTCAACCACTGTTTGCCAAGTGGTAACTTCACGCCGACTAAAACATTTTACAGGGTCCAAATTTTCAAAGAAGATACTCATGGTATAATCAGCGTGTTTTAGCGCACTTTTGCGATGGCTCCTGAGTTTTTTTTTTTTTTTTTTTTTTTTTTTTTTTTTTTTTTTTTTTAGCTCTAGAGAGATGATATTGAAATAAGTCGAAATTCACGATTTTGCTCAGAAAAATAGCAACGTCGCAGCGTGTCAAAATTATCATAAGGGGAGCATTGGGAGCATCTAAGCTACTAATTTCACACTCTGATTACAATTTAGGCATCTGTAACGTTAATTTATCGAGAGGGAAAAATCATCAAAAACTGTCAAAAATTCGCTTTTTTCATGCGTGAAATTTTCGCGTCGGGTCAAAAGCATGGAGGGGGTCCAAAACTTCACTAGGGTGTAGTTTATGAACTAATTTTGCCCTCTGTTTAATTTGCAGACCCCTCCGACTTTATTTTTTGGGGAGCGGAAAATTACTGAAAAAACAGTAAAAATTCGCTATTTTTGCCTGGATAAATGGCAACTGCGCGTCGGGTTAATTTTGTCCGATTGACCCCAAATTTCATTTTCCGTGTTTTCGAATATGCTATAACCGATTTAGGGGGTTACAGCTATAAATTTCCGAAATTCATTTTTTGTGGGCCACCCTAACGTGCATATACCCTCCCACGCCATTTAGTGTATACTTAACGAAAATTAATAATTATATAGTTTATATCAGGAGCAACATGTTTCCCATTAATTGAGGCACTAAATGCGGAAAGGGCACTTCTCGATTGCGGTGTTTCAAAATCTCTGTTGCGAGTTAATCCTTTGGAGGAGAATTCAATGCGTGACTTTTCCAGAATTCTTTCCACAGAAAATTGTAGAATCATAAGGAATATTCAGTAAAATTTTTAGTGAAATGGATGCATTCACTTTCCTTACGATGAATGAAACATTAGATGAGACTTTGGAACACTGCAACTGAGAAGTGTCCTTTTTGCATCCAGTGCCTCAATTTATGTGTACAGGTTGGTGTTTTGAAGGATGGACAAAAGATAATGGTTACGCATTGCAGAAAAAATTCCAATAGTGCTGTTCCTAAACTTACAGTCAGAGTTAAGAGAATGCCACTGCTTTTTCCTAAATTTACGCATCGGAAAATGATTAGAGTCGCCAGTCACATATCCGCTCCACTCTCACTTTAATTCGAGGACAAAATATGACGACAATGCAACGCTGCTGCTGACAGTGAGATCGTAAACAATGACATAAATCCTGTTCTGAATCATCCATAAATCGGACGTAATTTACTAAAAGTGAGGCATGTGTACTCCCAAGTGCTTCGTAGTTAGCCCGATTTCTTATGCAACTCGCGGCTCACTCTTAAAATGCTGATTAATCCTTCTCGCTTAGGTGTGTCTCATTGATGAGCTGATCCACGCTGCCGTCGGTCAGTAACACCGTCGCAAGGTTGCAATTCGTAATAAAAATAAAAGTGCGAAGCGTAAAATTGATGGCCGTCTCGGCTGTTTAACGGTTGTTTGGCAATCCTGCTATTTGGCACTTTGAGATCCAAGCTAAGTTCAAGGAGCAGTTAATGATTTTGATGTAACATGTATACTGTTGATAAAATGTGCGACAAGTATCAAATGCTGATTTTACATTAAAAAAGTGCTAACTCAACATTGAATTTGTTCATTAAACCGTGGACGTAGTTAATTAATTGATTGACTGATTTAGTACAGTTAAAATCACGAAATATGAGAGAAGAATTCTGTGTTTTAAAAATTATTAAATTTGGCTCGGAAACACCATAATATTTCCAAAACATACAGTATATTCTCCCGTAGTAGATAATTTTTTCTTATCTTTTTAAACCAAAATAATTCATGCAGAGTGTACACAAATTTCAAAATCACGAGTTGAAAGAAGCTGAATCCGCGAGTTCGAGTATTAGAACAGAACACGGTGCGGCCAGCTCGAGCCCAGATCAGCGCCTACAAGACTGCATGGATACTTCACGCATTGCGCGTACACTACGGAGGATACTTCTCGGATTGCGCGTACCTCACGGTGCTTACGCGCAATGCGTGAAGTATCCATACAGTCGTGTAGGCGCTTGCACGCGTTCCGCGCTGGCAGCACTATGTTCGGCTCTAATGTTCGTACTCACGACGTCATCGTTTTTCAACTCATGGTCCTGAAATGTCTGTACACTTTGGATTAGTGTCGTCTAAAAAGATAATACAATTTTGTACGTAAAATCCAACTAATCTCTCTTTCTTCACATGCATATTAAAAATCTAAGGGCTGGGGCTAGGAGGCACAGCCTCCGAATCTAATATATCTGTGAATAGTTAATTCGACCACTTCCATTTGATTCCAGTGAAGAGACCAAAATCGTCTCTTTTTTCTGCAAAATAAGACGATGATGGGAAAATAAAGACACTTTTGTTGAAAACTTGGTCAAACTTTTTTTTTTTTTTTTTTTTTTTTTTTTTTTTTTTTTTACAAACAGCTAAACTTTTGCAATGGTTCTGCTCGCAATTATTGTATTAGATTCTCGAGAAATTCTGTCTTCATTTCCGGGTGGTTTTAATAATATTGTCAAAAAGGAACTCTGCAGCGTCGATAACCGAGGCACACGTTTTTGCAGTTTGGCAGTTACACGTCAGGCAGGTGGAGAATGATAATTAATACAAGTAAATGCACATAAATAATTCAGAACGTCTTCGATAAAATTACCTGTAAGGCTTGCAAACCTGCTAAAATGATGCAGCTTAGCTCGTTTTGCACTACTGACACATACCTTGAGGGAAAAGTTCAGTCATACGTACCGTTTTGCATATTGATCGCATCGGCTAAAATGTCTATCCTTACATTTTTCAGATACTGTTTGGAACAATGTTCTCGGTAGTTACGTATTTAATGTCAGATCAGCCTTGGAACTCTGACCGTTTCATTTGGTACCTTTTCATCGGGCAAGCAATGGCTCTTGTGTCTGAAGGCATGGGTATCTTCATCGGATCGATATTCAAAAGCACGGTGAGTTACTTTTATCCATGTATGTGTGTTCGAATCCTCAGAATTATACTTATAATGTAGCCATGTTTTCTTTGATAACATTCTCATGTTTGATACAAATTACCGGGTGTTCCAGACCACCCGTCAAATATTTCACCGAAAAAAGTAAGGTAATTTTTACTATTAGTCTACTTGATTTTTTACACAGTGATACTTTTTGGTGAAAATAACCAGAATTATGATAGTATTCACCAGAACTCTGGTGATTCTTATCATAACACAGTAAATGCTACCATTGAGTCTGGCGTTTACCATACTCGTATCACTATGTCAGAGTATGGTAAAATCTACTATATTTTTTTAAGTATTTTTTCCCGGAAACGGCCAAAAATGAAGCTTCCCGACACAAATTTTAATTTTTGACTAACAAAAATTTTTGATGACTGCCATATGAATATTTTCCCCTAGAATTCTCTGATGCGATAATATAATAAATTGAATAAAATTAACATGATGTCGAGAAAGTTTTTCTACTTAATGAGGAGAGTTCAGGCAACGTTCAAAGTCTCATACGGCTTTCTTTTTTTGAAATCGCAGAATCGTCCTCTCCTTTTGAGTACCGCAATAAATTCCAAAGGTTCAAAGGGGTAGTAAAAAGGGTGGAATTTAGACCCCAATTTAAAGCGTCGGTCTCAATTTACAAGTTCTTTTCCACTTTATACAGCGGGTTTTTTAAGCGTGCCAGTAGGGCTCGCTTTTTGAAATCACTCGGATGTACCATAGTACAGCATACAGATCAACCAATGCTATTCAACGGGTCGTCCAAATACTTTTCTCCTCGCACCCGTTTCTTCGTCTTTGAACCATTACACTGTCAAGCCCTGATGGTCTTTTACCAAAAAATCTAATGAACTGCTAATTGGAAACCCTTGAGAACATTTTTCTGTCAAAACCGTATTATTCAATTTGACAGAAACCTCATAGGAGCTTTCTTACGCTCGGAGGACTCAACTCTAGAACCTTCTTTCCCGCCAAAACTCTATAGCCAATGAGCGTCTTGCACTGTAAGTGCAATCTGTGATGAGCCTCGTGACTCATTATACTATGTACTAACCATGGCCCCTGCCGAAATCCACTTAAACCACTACAGTTATCTCGCGATATAGCTTTGGGTGTCCGGTTTCGAGCAAGGCAATAAAAGACGGCGAGGCGATTAACCGATTAACCATTCACCGTGATGCCAGGATCCACCAAATTTTCTCAAAAATTGTTTTCCGTCTATTTAGCGAGTTTTTCTTTACTTTCCGTTGAAGTACAAATAAAAAGAGACCTCATTTGTACAAATCGGCCGAATAGGAGAGAAGTTACAGTTCGAAATCCAAAGAGATTAACTGAACGCGATTTCGATGCACGGCAGTTCGCCCAAATCACGGTCGTGCGCAAATGCCGCATATCAGCTTAAAATCAAGATAATTGGACGGAATCTTTAAAATTAATTTACATTCAACGTTCATGAATCAACATTTTCTCCCAAATTTAGCAAAAAGTACCAATTGATGCCAAAAGCAAAGACGTGAAAAAAGGAGGTATTTGTCCAACATTTCAGTTATTCGGCACGCTTTTCCAACATACTCATGTTGGATTTTTTCTTCTTTTTTTTTTTTTTTTTTTTAAGGAGTTAATCTGAAGAAGTGACTTACAGAGGTCTTTGATCAAACTTCGTAATTTTTTGTGTTTGTGTGACAGCGAACTGTTTAGAGTCTAGAAACTCTGTTTGAGCTATGCAACAAATGTTGAATATTTCTTGTGTTGGCAAAGGGAAGTTAAATTATATCGACCGCATAAGGGAAGCACTAATGAGTACAAACGTACTGCTTTCAGAATATATTGCTTTTAATGAACAAACTTTGTTTCTCTAGTCTTGCGTGCGGAATTTAACTTACCTCTTAATTTTTTGCTTTGGAAAATTTGCTACTCACTCGTCCCTATCTACTAATAAAATCACATCTGTGTTACCGCGTTGAAGGAAATCACCGTATGAACGGAGCGGATTATAATGCATACTCTCCTAAATGAAGGCATTTTCTGTTTCCCAAAAAACGAATTTCTCATTTAAGGCCACGAATTTCCCACCGTCCTAGCCCCCACCGTCATTTCATTCAAGGGCAGTTAAAATATTTAAATATCTCTTAAATTATAGATGGCACACAAAGTAGTTCAACTCGGCACCCGCTCATCGAACGTCCGCTCCATGTAGGATGCCTTTTGGTAGACCACCACCATTCTGTATTGTTTGACGTGTTTATGCTAAGTGGAACTATGTGCAAGTGAAAATATGGGGTGAGCTCGTTAGTGCTCGGTCCATAAGAATGAATGGGAAATATAAAGCGCCAGTGACGTCAGCGGCAACAGCGAGAGGGACGACGATGGGGAAGGTGGTCTTTCACTCATGAGCCCTGTTCACAACTCTCTTGTTACATGCCCACGGCTCACGAGTTAGCGCTCAGTCCCTTTTAATTTTATTGAAAATCCCGCTTTTCCATTTTCTCAAAAGAAACTATATCCACTGACCACATTGTCTCTTATGCAGCTTCCACGAGCACACCCCATCTTTCCATTTGCATAAATACGTCCAGTTTATACTTGTACATTCTGCCGTGCTAAGGAAGAACATCATATGAGCCTTCAGACGTTGCCAAGTTTCCTTCGATAAAAACCGAAATTACTGGGAGATTTGTGAATATTTTTTTCCGAAATTTTCAGGCACTTTTGTATGCAATATGATCTAAAATATCTGAAAATTTCAAGGAAAAATGTGCATGAATGTCGTAAAAAGTACATATTTTATCGAGGGAATTTTGGCAACTCTCGAATGTTTATACGGCGCTTTTCCTGAGCACGCCAGTATTGTCGTCCCGATGGCTCTTCTGACAAAGTAACGAACTCGGTTTCAGAACGGAGCTGCAGTAGCGCCAGCATCCCTGGCCCCTCTCCTGGCGGTGGCCGTCTACGGCATGGGTTTCGGCTCGGTGATCGAGCCGTTCATGCAGTTCCTCATGAATCTCTCGTTCATCCGCTACGGCCTGGTGGCGCTCTCCGTGACTCTGTACCAGAACCGGCCGCTGATGGAGTGCAAGGAGTCCGAGCTTTACTGCCACTACAAGAACCCGCGGCTCCTTCTCCGGGACCTCGGAATGGAGGACATTGACCGCACCAACGAAATGATCAGCCTCTCCGTCTTCATCGTCCTCTTCAGGATTGCCGCCTTCTCCGCCCTCAGGTATCGCCTCACCACCGAGTTCTCCTCCAAGTTCATGCGTATCATCAACAAGGTCCTCCGCAAGAAATAAGACCGATCTCCTCCACACCATGTAGGATAGCTTCCAATACCTTAGTAAAAGTGAATCAGCCTGACATCAGGCTATGTTTCATAAACTACCCTGAGTCAGACTGATTCAGGTTGATTTCAGTCTGCTATCAGCCTGAATCAGTCAGACTCAGGGTAGAGTATGAAACATGGCCTGATGTCAGGTTGACTCACTTTTACTGTAGGGTAAACTCCAATTACATGGTGAAGTTATACTATTGCATCCGAATATTTTGTGTCTGGCCTATGCACATTGAAAGGGCTCCTCTTACTAGAATGGATTACGTACTAAAATCGAAATAAGTTCAATTTTTTTGCATTGCAAATTGCCTAACTTTCAAACAAATGGCGGGCCTTGCTTTTTCGATCGTTTCGATCGATATTGAGCAGAGGATGGTTTGTAATATCATGGTAAAAAGTTGTAATTTTATTTCAATACTTTCGTCGTTTCGTGCTACTTGGAAGGTGGACAAATTAAATTAGCTTTGCACTACCATGGCAAATACATGAGGTGGGACATAGGGAAATTGTTCTACCCCGTGAGATGAGAGGGAACTGTTATGAGGATTAGGAACAGCGGGATGGTAGGACAAAATCACCATTCGCCTAATGTACTCAAAAACAGAATCTGTGGCTCAGCACACTCTCTATTTACTCGGTCCTCGAACGTGAAAGAGGAGATTCTTTTTTAACTGACTCGAAAGGGACTTGAACCGGCAAAAATATTCCGGCAATATCAAGTCAACGTTAAAATTCTTGAATTTATTGGCTCAATATTGTGTAAATATTGAGCCAGTGCTAGAAGGAGAACGTTGATTTGTTGTGGCAGTATATAGACCATTATTTTATTGAGTATTTCCGTAGTATTTTAAGACCGTTTAGTCAATATTTTCATGTAAAGTCTTGCCACAGTATTGATTTATCATTGTTTAAATATTTTCGTAGCCGAAATCCAACAGTTGAAAATGTCCAAACGGTTAATTTGCCGGCTATGAATGTAATTAAGGAGGATGTTTAAATGTAACCGCGTGTCAAAATTCAAGGGGTGCCTTGAGAATTGAAGTCTTAATATCAATTCCCCTCAACGGCTAAGTAAGAGGAAAATATTTAAAGTGTATTTAAGGTCCTTTTAAGCTTTATAAATTATTCAAATTTCATAATTTTATTCTAAATCTTGAAAGTATTACTTCGGTGAAGACGCCCGATTGACATCTGTAATACGTACCTATAGCGTATATTTTAATTTATTTCATATTTTGTTGTTGTTTTATCTTAGTTTATTTAACCATGGAGTCATTTAACTCTAACCTTTATGAGAATTTTTGTATACCTCCATCCATTTTACCAAGAGTATAGAGTAGTTTTTTATGTAATCAGGATCGGTTCAGAACATCTTTCAGGTCTAATGACACAAGCCGTGTCCTAAGGAAAATACGGAAATACATCATGACAGGATATTTTCATATCATAAAAATGTTTCCGGTTAGTATAAGTCAGAAATTTTCTGCGATTACCTGGAGGAAAATTGTCCAAGTTCAAGGATTTTATGAAAACAACCGTATGCAAAGCATAAAATTACATTTTTGAAAATCTTCAATTGATTTTTCTCTACTTTTTATTCTCATTTTTTCGTTTTCTTCCATGGATTAGAGTCATGAAATACGTAATGATTCTGAGATATTCTTGGAATATGACATCGTTAGATTAACGTTTTTATGATCGAGTCGACTGAACTGCTTCATTCGACGTTAAACACGTGTGTGACTCATACCAAATAGCGGTGCTTCCTCTAATGGAGCTACCGAGCCAGCTAAACGCTCAATCCTCGCGGGTTTTCAAATATTCCCTCATATTTTTCGCAGAACATATCTTTTTCCTTTGCTCAAAATGTAAGCTCATTCGAGATAAAAGTTATCAGACTGATGAAAGGTAGAACGTGTAGGAGTTTGTATATATTTAGTTTTTTTGTTTGTTTATTCTGTCGATTTCCAATCGCACCTTTTTTGTACATATACTACCAAACCGCTCCAGTTGGATACTGTTAATTTACAGATACATCTGAATTGAATAGCTCACGGCGAAACTTTTCCGGTATGAACGTCACTGTGCTGTCTCGTATTTAAAGCCTTCCATTCCACGTTTCATACTCGGAATGAATTCGTCTAACTTTCATAGGAATTTATGTTATTTTCAGTGCCTGTCTCCATTCATGTAAAGTTGAACGCAGTTGCGAACGTTTCGAAATGAAACGAATGAGATATAGACCTGAATAGGTTCAATAGAAAATGTGCATCTAACTCTCGTCAAATGCAACTGCCACGTCGATGCGTGAATAATCCCAGGTATACACGTGTATTTTTTTATGGTTGTAACAAATTAAGAGGAAGGATATAAAGTGTTACGTTTTATATCCGTCAAATATTTTTTTACGTTTTCTTTTCTTATGAGATTATGTGTTGGTTTTTAATGTTTAAAATTGTTTTTTATTTAAAACTTGGGATGATTTCATCCTTTTTATTCATAAGTTTGAATTCTTTATTCCATTTCTTAGAGAAGAAAATATTCTATATATCGTCACCTTCCAGGCAAAGTATCACAAGCGCCATGCGACGTTTAAAAATTTCCGCCGCCATTTTATTTTTTTACAGAGAAATTGTTCAACGAAGCTGTCCGAAAATTTCACTGAATTTTCTTTGTGCTGCCGATAAAGTTTAGTGAAATTTCCAAACAGATTCAACCAACAATTTCTCAGTAAAGAAATAAAATGGCGGCGGAAATTTTTAAACGTCGCATGGCGCTTGTGATACTTTGCCTGGAAGGTGACGATATGTTAATTTATGAAAAAAAGAAAGAAATATACACGTATCCAGCAGTATAAAACGTGTTAAAAGATTCCATAAATTTCACGTTTTGTATGACAATTTCCTGTTTAAAATACTTCATACTAAATCAAATATTTAATTTCGGAAATTTACTTCAAAGTTGAAAAATACTACTTTTTTTGCCTCTTGCATTCCCTAGTCTACATTTTTTCAACTTGAAACTTTTCATCACAAATGTATAAATAGAATGACGAATCTAGAAAACTATGTATAATGTTAACGTGTCAGTCACCTCAGTAATATGTACAACCAATGCTACCTACTATTTCTTTTGAAAAAATATGCAATTTTGTATATTATCGTATACTTTCATAATTACGGAAAGTTAAAATTTACCATTTATTTAATTATATTATTTTAGTAAACATTTTCCCTTGATCGTACTTCCGAAGAACCTCAAAAGTCATCGGCAGCATTAATTTATGTTTTATTTGTAAATGTAGTGGATTATGCCTTTCTTCTCCAGTGGTTCGAGTCTCTCCGTTTCTGTGCTTTAATTTTAAGGGGAACTCTGCACACAAAAATAGCCTCTCAATTAGAATACGAATTATAGAGACGATACACCCCGCTTCAATTAAAGAGATACGTGTGTGAAAAAACGAAAACAAAAAAAAAACTCGTGCTTCATAATTTTGATCGAATTCAAGTGCCAGAGATTTTATGTGCTCATAATTGATAAAATTTTGAACCGGAACCACCAGAGACCGCAATACTGAGGAAACGACCTCCTGGGTAGAAAAAAGAATTCACTTCATGCACTGACCAATTGGTTATGATACTCGTATAATATTTTCTTGTTCAACTCGTGAGTCACTCTTATCTCATGAGAGTTTTTAACTGATTTCTGCTTGTTGCAGTTAAACTTGCAATTAATTTTCAGTGCATTCCACGTAGGTTGTTAATTTCAACATTTTCATCACTTTACGAAACTTAATAATTTTTAATTATAACTAGCCGCAGACTCCTTTGATCGATGTATTAACACAATGTAGGTACTTGTATTTATCATGGTTGGCGAATGTAATTGTTAGTATTGATGTATAATAAATCAAAATGTTCTTGTTATACTTGCGTCTAATTCAATGATTGAGTAATGAGCATATAGGTACATAACTACCCTGAGAAGTGGCGAGGCGTGAATGATCGATTTTTTATCTTTTCTCAGTTGAAGTTTCTGTGAAAGATCGATTATTAAAGTGTTCGTTGCGAGCATCTTGTTTATCGATCCTTTTCCACAGGTTTAAATGGCAGATCAATCGATATATTGCAAAACATGCCACACCACTGACCCTGAGGATTTGACTATTCATAACAATCAAAGAAAAGATTCTTCTACGAGTCTCTATTGTGGCACTGCGAAAAATACAACTTTTGTCAAGAATATACGACCGGCGCTTACACTGTTAAAAATCCCGGCGCGAAATTCACGCTTACTCAGTTGCTATGTTGACCACCTGTTCCTCTGAGTGCAAGAATTTGGCGCGAAATACGAAAAATCTTCTTGACGTCATACCCAAGAATGTTTCTGCCCAATAAAGTCACTTTTTTTCTCCAATGAAATTGAACACGTATGCTAACCGTTACGAATAAAGTGCTGGGACTTAATGAGTTTTTGGACCATAGCTCTCTTTTTGTGCCGTAGTATCTTGATTTATTTTGCGAGGAAAGCTCCGTACTTTTAAAGGGTGCCTGTCATTCCTGATACGTTGGAAAGCCTTCAATTCCGTATGCTACTGTGCAACACCTCTGTTGGGAAATAGCTGCTTGAAGCGCCGCGCCGCAGCGCAGCGGGCGAGCGCGCATTGGCGCCTACAAACCTAACGGGGATACTTCACGCATTGCGCAATGCGTGAAGTATCCCTGTTAGGTTTGTAGGCGTCAGGGCGCGTGTCGCGCTGGCAGCACGCTGCTCCACTCAGTGTTTGGCTCTAATATTTAAACTCACGGAGTCAACTCATGATTTTGAAATGTTTGCACACTCTGCATGGATTATTCTCACTTAAACTGATGAAAAAAATATGCATTGAAGGAAAATATAATGTGTGTTTTGTAACTATTAAGGTGCTCCAGTGTCAAATTTACTGATTTCCACTCATATGATTTGGTCACTGTTATTTTTCTTTTTCATTTTGTGCTATCACTGTGATGCAGCATGGTGTACGCGCAACCTAACGCTCAAAATTGGCCATATTCGTCT